GGGGACGCCCGCCCCGTGCCTCCTCCGCCTCCAGGGCGCGGGCCTTTGTGCGCGCGCCGGTGGGGTCCTGGGGCGGGGGCACCTTCAGCTCGGCCCCCAGCTCCCTCTCCTGTCCCCGAAACCGCCCCAGACGGGTGTTTGGCCGGCAGGGCCTAGCCCAGCTCGCCCACACCGCCCCGGCCCCCGGGGGCCGCGGGGCCAGCATGGTGTCCCTCTTGGTGACAGGGTTCCTGCTGGACTTCATCTCCTGCCCGGTCATTAAAGGTTTCACCTCCGCTGCCGCCGTCACCATCGGCTTCGGGCAGGTCAAGGTAGGCCGCCCTGGCCGCGGCTGACGGGGGCACCTCCGGGCAGCGAGCCCCGAGCGACGGGGCCCCCGCTGGGGCCGCGCAGCCGTGGGGGGTGGGGTGGACAGGGCCCGCACCGCCTCGCCAGCACCGGGCTGACTTTTCTCAGAAGCCGACACGGTGTCCAGCAGCCCCAGGCATTGTGAAATGCCTCCTACACTGACCTCAGCGTTCTCCCGCCCTAGGGGTCGCTGGGACTGGCCGGCGGCCCTGGAGCGCCTGAGAGGGCCCCCAGAGGGGCCCTCGGGGGCGGGCGGTTCCGGTGCTGAGCTGCCGGGGAGGGCCGCGTTCGGGGTTCCGATCAGACCCTGTGTTTGCACAGAACCTTCTGGGCCTGCAGGGCGTCCCGAGGGAGTTCTTCCTGCAGGTGTACTACACCTTCCGCAAGGTCCCGGAGACCAGGTACCGGCCGGCCCCCGGCCGCCCCCTCGATGCCCGGGCATTCCGGGGCGCTGCGGGCGAAGGGCCTGACGCCTCTGCTGGAGGGGCGGTGGGAGCTGTGCCGAGGCTGAGGGGCGGCCCTGCCCCCTCCTGGTGCCGCTCGGGGCTCCCCCCGGGGGGTCGGCCCCCCGGGGCAGCGGGACGGAGGCCGGGCCGCTGCAGCTGCTGTCGTGTGCCGAGCTCGGCGCCTTCCCGGGAGGACGTGAGCGAGCGCTGGGCGGGGCAGCCACAGCCACGGGCGGGTCCGGCCTGCCGCCTGACCAGCGGCGCCTGTCTGCAGGCCCGGAGACGCCGTGCTGGGGCTGGTCTGCGTGCTGCTGCTGCTGGTGCTGAAGCTGCTGCGGGACCACATCCCCCCCGTGCACCCCGAGATGCCCCCCGGCGTGCGGCTCAGCCGCGGCCTGGTCTGGACGGCCACCACAGGTAAGGGGCCTCCGGCCCGGCCGGTCAGCTGTGGGGCTCTGGGACGCTCAGGCTCCCCGGGGGGTCCCGCTCTGCCGGCTGGGGGCGCAGCGGGCTAGGCCAGGGCCCCCGGGCACACTTGCTGACGTCTGGAGGCGGCGGGGTGACGCCGCGGCC